GGATTGCTAACAGTTGGTGAGGATATGTTTGTAAAAGGGTTTCAGATCTCGGTACGCAACTTGAAGTTATGTTGCTGTAATCGGGTTGGTAATAATAGCTTCCTTTGCTAGTTTGTCCGCCATCTCATTACCTGTTATTCCTATTTGCGATGGAATCCACATAAAATGAGTTTGTGATTCTTCATTTTGTAGCAGAGAGTGTATAGCTCTTTTCATGAGGAGTATGATGGGGTGGTTGGTGTACAGTTCTTCAATTGCCTCAAGTGCATTCAGTGAGTCTATCACAATAAGGCATTTTGTTAGATTCCTTACTTCGGCGAAATTTAATGCTTTCAATATAGCATATAATTCCCCTGTGAATACTGTACTGTCTTTGGGTAATTTGAAGGAGGCCCAGTAATCAGAACATATTGGTTTATTAGTTGATGAAATTCTGTGTTAATTATCTCATGATTGGTTTCATTTCTGTTATACTGGGTGAGACTTATGTTTGTTTGTATTTGAGGAATTGAGCAGGGAGAAGGGTTTGATTGATATATTTGAAGTATTTATAATATTTGGAAGTGAAAGACGTAAACTGGATAGGTAGCGGTTATATCTCTCATAGAATGGAAGATCAGCTCTTTTCTTTCTAGCAAAAGTGTTTTTAAATATGTTTGTGACGACGTTGTGGTGAACTGGGTTTGTTTTACCACAAGCAGTTCATTTGTGGCGATCCACTCGGTCAGTACTTTTCCCATTATATCGGTTTGATATATACTCCATTGTGGTGATTTGGCAATAAAGTACCCAAACACAATAGCTTTCTCCTTTTTTGATTCTATCTGCCTCTCAATCATGTACAGTGTATCATCCAGGTCTTCTATGTCTTCATCTCAGCAGCAGCTATAGATTGCCTACTGCGTTGTGGATGCATATAAGTGTAGCCCACGCGGTACCCTACTGAGTAATCTGTTCTAGGATTTTTATAGTTGTGTCTAATTTTGTATCGTGTATTTCATCTTTTCTGTTAATAAAAAAAACATAGAAAGCCATTAATGAAATTATATCTAATAAAACAAATAGAGTCCTTAGAATGAACAAAATGAACATGGAGAAAATGTGATAGAAAATGAAAAAAAAGGCAAATTTATTCAGTAACTTTTTCACTAATATTGGCACTGAAATGGCTAAAAAAATTGAGTACTCAAATCTACCTGATGATTTCCTTGTTGACATCCACGTAAATGCATCTATATTTTTTGAACCTGTTATATTCATATTCTAAATTTATGTTTAGAGCATGGTACTATTCCATTCAAGTGGAAAGACTATAGCAATACCTATCTTCAAATACGGTGATTCAAATAAACTTAGTAATCATAGATCTATCTCTATTATATCTAATTTAGCTAAAATTTTTGAACATTGCATTGAAAGTAGACTGTTAACATTTATAACATCATATTATAACAGAATATCAATATGGCTTTATATAGAATTCTAATACTGAAAAAGCTATCTTAGATCTGACAAAAGAAATGATAACTTTCTTGACAAATCAGCTAAATGTTTAGCGATTTTTCAGGACTTGGCCAAAGCATTTGACACTGTGTCTCATGATGCACGGTTGAAAAAACTTGAAAGATATGATATTAGGGAAATATCCCCATAATTTTTACAAAACTATCTCAGTGGTAGAACCCAACAAGTCAAAATCGGTAAAACCCAAAGTTTACGTTCAATCCTATCCATTGGTGTGCCTCAAGGTACAGTATTGGGTCCAATAATGTTCCTTGTATACATAAACAATATTTACCGCATTAATAATATTCTAGGTCACATCATATGTTAAGTCGATGATACTGCATTGATTTTCATAGGCAACACCTGGAATGAAACTATTCACACAGCTGAGCTAGATTTGAGGAAAATTGGATTATGGCTAAATAACAACAAATTAAGTATAAACATACAAAAAACTAAATTTTTCACCTTTTCTCTCAGATCTATCGACCAACCCACCACAAATAAAATTCATAAACCTGATTGTCCACGTCTACAGTGCTAAGTAATGCCCCGAAATAAAGACATCGTCAATTAAATACTTAGAAATTTTTCTCGACCAGTACATGAGGTGGGACGAACATGTTAATACATTTTACAATCTGAGGAACAGTTTATCCAAAAATAATTTAATAACTCTATATTACAATTTGGCTGAATCTGTCCCTAAGTTACTGCATTACAGCGTAGGGTAGCGCCTTCAATAATATTCTCGACCCTCTAAAAATTGCCCAGAATTCTATACTGAAAATTTACAAAAAAGAAAAACGATTTTCAACCACGTTACTCTACAACAATACACCGATAATGAATATAAATTCCTAATATATTTACAGAAGCATTATCTGGGTCTATTTAAGGTAAATTAAAAAAACTAGAAAATGATATAACAAGGTCAAGTTATAAATTCCACTTTTCAGGAAAACTCATTTCCAAACAAGTCTTTCTTATTATGACTCAAAATTTTTCAACCTTCTTCCTGAAAATCTAAAAACTATAAATGGTATAAAAAACTTCAAAACTGCCTTGAAAAGTTATTCACTAAGAAACCCAATTCGTTTCTAAAATTCATACCTTTGCTATCATTCGCCTATCAATATATTTTAAATTTTCAGGGAAGAAAGTTTTTGGCTTTCTACTACTCCATCTTGATACAAAAAAATGTGGGAATTTTCCAAAGAAATGAAGGAAGTAATCTTTTCCTAGCCTTTCTGACAAGAACTCACTCAAACCATTAGAATTGTATAGACCTCCCATTTCACTCATTTTTTTTATAATCATATCCATTTTATATCCATACATTCAGTGAGATAACTCTGAAGTCATATATTATTTGAAATGTTGATGTACGAGTATGTATTAATTGAATGAATAAACGAAATGATGGCTTTTCGGTTTGATTTGCTAACAATGAGAACTGCCCCTACGTCCTTTGCTGTAGCGATGGCGGTGTCATAAGCTTGGCAACTTCTGTTAATATTAATTTACAGAACTTTCATGGTGACTATTTTGGTTGAGGCCTACTTGAGATCTATCTGCTGTCTTTTTGTTTTTCGGCAGTTTGGATTTCCCGCTTGGTATCCTTATTTTTTTCAGTGCACGCAGTAGGACTTGTTCTAAGCACTTGCGATATGTCCATCTTTCTCACATTTCACGCAGGGAACTTCGCATGGTGCTTTAATGTGGTCATATTGTCAGCGTCTGCAGCATTTTGCTTTTTTTTTTTCTCTCGAGTACTTTGCATTCCGTCCATCCTATTTGTAAAATACGGTTTCACTCTGCCTATTACCATAGGCGGGCCGTAGGGCTCTTATTTCAAATTTTTCAGGTTCTACTGGAATATATTCCAATATGGCTCCCTTTATTTCTTCTTCCGTTGATGCCTCATCCATACCCTTTATGTGGATGGTTTTTCTATTCAGTAATATGGCTATTTCTGTTTGCAGAAATTTTAGGCTCCATTTTTAATTGTTAAGGGTAAGTCTCTCTTGTTTTCGTTACGTTTCAAATCCCCAACCCTATTTCTTTCGGGTTTATTGTTTGTTTCACTGTTTTTAATGAATCTGCATACGTTTTACCTTTCATTCAGATCATGATAGCCTCATGTTTTAGTCTTCTTCTTTTACTGAGTGGAGAATTCTCATTTGTTTGATTTTGTGTCGGCTGTTGACTCACGGTGCCTTCGTTCTGTCTGTACATGAATTGTATGTTTGTGCCTGCGAACAAATAAGCTTGTCGCCCACTTGTCCAACTACAGCCAGCATACTGAAGGAGCTGTTTGTTCGATTTCTCAAGGGAATTTTAGTTGTCATCGAGCGGTGACAGAAATATGTCTATCACTAGCAGTTCTGACGAAGAAGTCGTCATTATAGTGGCCGTATTATTGAATGTAGAAGAAAATAGCCACAAAAAAGAAGGGTGTGGGTCACATTAATCAAAATAGGGCAAATCTGGGAGAGTTTCATCATCTTTTCAACGACCTGAAAGAAGACGAGGAGAATTTTTTTCAGTATTTTCGAATAACTCCAGGCAAATTTTCAGAACTTCTGGATATTCCAGAGCCTTCCTCAACAAGCAACTCAATTTTTCCTCACTTGGCCAGTCCGTCACAGCACGTATCGATCGTGCTGTGCCGTGCCAGGCTAGTGGGCGATTGTTCATTCATTTTCATTGTTCCAATCCTATACGTATTTTGACGGGACGGGCCGTGCTGTGGCAGACAAGTGGGCGACAAGGTATATTCTAACCTTATTTTTTACATAGTACCACCAGTTCCGTCTAGCTCGGGTACTGCGAACTTCGTCTGATTTAACGCTAATGCTTTGTAAGGGAAATATTTCCGTCTTCATCTTCTAAACCTAAGGAATGTTGCATCATGGCAACTTCTCCGTGTTTCTTATTTTGCTTTTAACTCTCATTATTCTCTTACAGCTTCAGAAAATATTTTTTAACGATCCTTTTTTGCAATACCTTACACTCTTTGCAATGTATTTCAACGATATCTTGGGTATCGAGCTGAGCGCTATTTTCCAACATTGTTTTATGCTTTTCCTACATATTCTTCGTTTGCTCTTCAAATTCTTATTTCTGTTCAACTTTCATATTTTGAATTAGCTCTCAAAGTCATCGGTTTTTGTCAAGCAGTGCCTGAGCCGCTTCCTTTTTGTCTTTATCGGTATGTACTTGCTCCATGCACTTTCTTATTTCTCTACTTTTGAGTTTTTCAGATAAGACAACAGTTAAATTTTACTCTCGATATTTTTGAAATACTTTTTCAATTGCTTTATCATGCTCTTCAACTGTTTCACTACCACTATTTTACATTTATATTTTTATTATTTTATCAACTTCTTCTGTCACCAAATATGATTTTCAGAAACCAATAAATTCACATTTATTATTTATTTCCATATATTGAAAACGGACTAACTTGCTTTTTCTGTTTTATTTTCTAGAAATTTCAAACTCTTATCATTCGGAGAAGAAGCTGAGGAAGACGAAGAGGAATCTACTAGGGAGAGTAAAAAGTTTGTTGGAAAGGGAAAATCAACACATGATGTACTAGGTAGGACATTTTCAATTCAAGACTACCATTCGCATTAGTTGTTTCTACTTATTTCAGACGATCCAAAGTTGAGTTCCAAAACAGAAGTTTTGAATGAAGTCAAAGAGGATGAAGAAATCGATCCAGAAGAACAACTGGAAAGCATAAGGAAGAAACTGAAAACCAGTAACAACCAGAAATCTAAGAGCCACAAATCATTAAATAATATCAGTGATGATTATGATGATGACTTCAAAGATTATTACTTGAACAAAGACATAGATCTGGAAAAAGAAAAGAAGATGTAAGTTATTTCACGAACGTTCTCTTATTCTTATAGGAACTCTACAATTCTTCTAGGAAGGAAATCAAATTGGAACTCGAAAATTTGAAGAAGGACTACCATAAAAACAAACTAAAGAAAGAGGAAGAAAAATCAGAAGCTGTAAAGGAGGAAGAAGCTAGAAGCGAAATGTACAAAGAATATAAAGAAGAGCATGACAAGTACAAATGCAAGAAAGAGCAATTACCTAAAAAGGGGCTTGGTAGGGAAAAATTCACTTTGGACCTACTAGCAAAGTTCAAGAAAAAATTACAGTCAGTCAAAGAGAAGGAAACGCCAGAAAATGTTGAGGATAATGATGATGATGATGATATAGACATTTCTTATTTTCATATCAATAATTTTTTCACAATAAGTAAAGAATGAGGCTCCATCATCTAAAAATATGAAAATCAATAAGAATGAAGAATCGAAAGATGATGTAAATAGCTACAGGAGCATCTACATACTGAGTTAAATTAAAAAATCATTGGTATGATATTTACCACCAAAATAACTGATAACATGGAGTCACAAAAATTTTACTACTCATTTTCTACTCCTATAAGAGTGGATTTTAACAAAATAGCTCACTTATTCTTCAAACTTGCATATGGTTACACCTTCTTGCTATCTTAGTAAGATACCGTGATATTTGATACCGTAGATCATTGCCTTTTTTTTCTTTTTTTTTTTTCTGAGAATGTACCCTTCCTCTTGAAAAATGAACAAAGGTTAATCAGATTATGGGTGATTAAATACTCAAAAAAACAGCAGAAAACATTGACTTCTTCACAAAAAATTTCTTCGTGGGTGTTCCAAAAACACCATTATGACATTCTTGCTGTGATTATTTGGCCTGTAATGAAACATTCAGATTAGTCTTGAGTTTTAACACTTTATAGAACTTAATAGAATCTCTATGCATACAATGGAAATTCAATGACTGTCCTTCAATTTCCAGGCCTCAATTATAGAATTGATGTTACCTGATACTGACATAATTTATTTCATTCTTTTTTCGTTAGAAGAGAAGTGGCCGTTTCATAGGCATACATAATTGAGTCGCTCGAAAAGTAAAAAATGTATTATTTATTTCAAACAATCGATGTCGTTGTGTGTTTAACAAATCTCAAAATACTTTTCATAGATGTATGTATACAGTTAGTACCAAAAATATGGAACAAATACATCAATGGTTTTTTTATTACACACTCAAAATTGTTTTTACCCTTGGATTTTTATTAAAATTTTCAGAACTCTATACTCTTTCAAAAAGCACCTTTTAATGTATCACATACCTGCATAGCTTACCTGGTTAAATCAGATATACCTCAGATATTTTCAATTTCATCATTTCATTCTGACTTGATAGTGCTATAATTGGATATTTTATTACCTGTTGAATATGAATTAATGATAAAGCCCTTGCATCCTAATCAGTGTTATTATTAGTAAATTATACAGCGTGACTCACGGTCGATGGTAGGTTAGACGTTTCTGGAAAACGCAAAGCATGATTTTTCTGAAAATTTCACCTCTCACATTTCCTTACCTGTTCTATCGATCTAAAATATTTTCAGCATTGC